CCTTCTAAAATAGTTCCTTTCAATCAAAAATTTAATCATAGCTTCTTTCCTTTCTGTTTTTTTTTTGTTCTTTTCTGACTTCTTCTTTCCCTTCCTTCGGATTTGTTTTCATCTTCTTGTTATTTTTTCTTTAGTTTTTACTCTTGCTTTTCTTGCCTTATTCTTCTTCATAGTCATCCCCATTTTTAAAAAATTATTGGACCCAGTTTTGATGAACCTATTTTGCGGATGCGGCCAGATCGTATAATAGAGGAATTGGGCCATGCAGTTGGGTTGATCTGAAGCGGGAGAGCTCGATAACCAGAGCAAGCGTAACATGTTATATAAAAGAGATTGGGGAGAATCGATTGACATGACAAATAAAGAACGAGATTCGCGAAAGTATAATAGTGTATGTGTATGAAAAGAATCTATTGAAGAGGAATATTATGTCATAATTGTTTTGTCAAAGTAAATATTGTCAACGTAAATATTGATAAGTGTAAAGAAACATAACCTTTACAAAATTTTATTGAACGATTAAAAAAAAGTAACGATCGCCAAAGTCAATTCCTCGACCGGGATGATAGCCTAAAAGCACGGATTTTAGCATGAATCACCGTTTTTGTTTTGATCTAACGATTCATACGTCGGATACAACTAAGGACGCCCTTCATCATTCCACCAACTGGATTGTCTCATAAGAAAAAGGCCATTATCGCCAAAAAAATTTTTTTTAACCACAAGTTGGTTCAAGAAAGACCTCACCCAATCAAAAGAAATACAAAATGATATAACAAAGATTCTTGAAGTTATGCCAGCAGGTCTCATTCCTATGGAGTAACGAGAGTTTTCGACAAAATGTCACATGGATCGTGGTCGAGTATGAGGGGTCGCGATATAATAGGAAAGGATACATATAAATCCTAGATTTTATATCATCAAGAGATATAGAAATATCATAGAGAATAGGAAATAGCAAAGTGTATAAATACTTTCAATGTACAATCAATAAAATCAAGGCAATACAAACTATTTTATG